ATTTCTTTAATTGTTGGTGGGCCAACATTGATTGGGAGGTCCGTGTGTGCTGCTTCGATATTGGGTGGGTTCAGTGTGGCTGGTCGATTCAAGAGTTCTTTGAAGTGTTCTACTCACCTGTTTCGTTGTTCTTCAATGTTAGTGATTATCTCGCGTTCCTTGCTTTTCACTGGTCGTTCTGGTTTGCGGCGATTTCCAGAGAGTTTCTTTGTCGTGTCATACAATTCTCTCATGTTTCCTTCTCTTGCAGCCTTTTCTGCCACCATTGCTAAATCTTCCACATATTTACCTTTGTCAGTTCTGATGCTCCTCTTCACCTGTATTCAGCTTGTGCCTTGACTTTCTCTGCTCTTGTTCGGCTGGTATTGATTGCTGCCTTCTTGTTGCTCCTTTCTTGAATCTTATCCAGTGTATCAACAGTGATCCATTCTTTGCGGTGATGCTTTTTGTGGCCCCGAAGCTCATGACGTGTCGAAGTGATTGCTTCTTTTATTCCTTTCCAGTTGCTCTCCATGCTAGTTCCATTTCCATTGAGTAGATCGTGAAACGCCTGGAACTTATTGCTGAGGGTTATCTTGAATTTGTTGAGTTTGTCCGTATCCCGAAGAAAGGCCGTATTGGACTTTTGTGCTGTTGTCCGCCTCATTGTCCGGTGCTTCTTGAGTTTCAATTTAATCTTGGCGACCAGCAGGTGATGATCTGATGCTATACCAGCTCCTCTCTTAGTCCTCACATCCTCCATTGTCCTCCTGAACTTTTTGTTGATGCAGATATGGTCGATTTGGTTTTGCGTAATGTGATCCGATGAAGTCCATGTGATTTTGTGTATGCGTTTGTGTGGGAATATAGTGTAGCTTATGACCAGCTTATTAAAGGCACACAGGTTTGCAAATTTCACCCTTTTTGATTCGGTGTCGTCTCATGATGTCTCCATATCCAATGTTGTCCATTCTAACCTTGGCATTTAGGTCTCCCATCAGAATGGTCAAGTCCTTGATTGGACATTTCTCGACGATTGACTGCAGCCTATAGTAGAATTTGTCTTTAACGTCTGCATTGTAGTCGTTGGTAGGCGCATAGCATTGGATGACGTCCATTGAAATGCTCTCTTTCTTTGTTTTGAAGGAGCCTTTGATGATCCTTAGTCCATAAATTCCCATCCTATAAGTGCATTTTGTGCTTGTTTTGATAGCATCAATGCAAATCCTTGTGTATGTGGGGCATTTTCTTCTCCATAGCCAGAGTATAACAGAAGCTCCCCTGAAGCTAGTCGTTGTTGTCCAACTTGCGTCCAACGTGTCACACTGATCCCAAGCACCCCCAGGTTGTATCTCCTCATTTCTGCAGCGATTTGGAAAACTCTCTCGGTTTCCCACGTTGTACGAGCATTCCATGTACCTAAATAAATAGTTTCTCTAGTTGTCAGAAGGGGCACCAGCCTCGTGGCTTCCGAAGGAACTCGGCTTTCACCATGGAGCGTCATAACTCTTCTAAATGAAGACCTTCTGATTCCCAGGGCAGAGTTTAAGTGGTTTGAATAATTTTTCTGGCTAGCGTTTATTTAGCAAGTTAGTTTTCTACGGGATGGAGTCGCTAACCCCATGTCCAACCCTCCTCCTTTATCCGGGCTTGGGGACCGGCAGTAGCCCCAGACGAGTCCCAGGAAGAGTTAAGTTTGTCCATTAATTAATGTTTAAATTTATCCTTTAATCGATCGAAAATATATATAAAGTGGGCATTACGATATCGCATGTTGTTTGTATAGAAAAATTGTTGTGGACAGAAGTAAATTATCATATATCTCTCTAGGAACAATATCTAATTTCTTCATTCCTTTTTTATAGATTCACTGCTTTATATAAAATTACTGTGATCAATTGGTAATGATCGTTAGAGAATGTTACTAATCTCAGTGTAGGTTCAATAATAGTTGGTGTAACATTCATAAATAGCTCGTGTTCATGTTTCGTTAAACCGATGGATAAACTTGATACTTTTACAAAGTATTTATTTTGCATAGAAGAAAGTGATTTCAATTCATTTCTGTTTTCTACATGCTTACCAACCTAATCATTTTTTTACTTAAAGTACCACTGAACAATTATATTGTTAGCATTATCTCCGTTGTCTTACGTATAGATGTTAGTCAACATGTGTGTTTATTTATTTGTTTGAACACATAAATATTGGTACAAAGGGGCAACGAATACATATGCACCACACAAGTCACTTGATTTGCGTGTGGGCTGTGATACTGCCCGGGTGCTCAAACTGAAGCAGGTGACTCATCAAAATATCTAATAAAATGACCTTGTAAGTGTTATCTTGAACTACTGTTTTTTCTTCAGTCACGTAAGCACGAGTTCTTGTAGATGGCTAGTAATTGTTCTGCAATAGCGAATAAAAATGACTGCAGCTATCATAATCGTTTTTTGCACATAAAATAGTTATATAGTAACAATCCTCGATTTATTTATTTCACCAAAAAATTTCACTCGTCTTTAAGACCGCCTCATTCAAGATAGATATATCCATTTCAAACTCGAAATAGATCTGTAACTTAGCAGTTTAGTCACACACAAATGTTAATCGTATCGTTACAGGTTAGCAATCGCCACTAATTTTCAGTTTCCTTTGTTGAATAGCATATTTGTAGCTACAACAATAAATGTAAGTCAATACATCACAAACGTGTATCTAATTACTCAAATCCTGTTATTAATTAGATTAATTTCTTCATCTAAAACTGATCTCAATTCGATTTGGTTCAGATTAATTTCGAATAGCCTTTATCTTTTGGACTAATTTTTCGACTTGATAGACTATCTAATTTAATATGTTTTCTCTACCATCCTCTCATAACTCATTTATTCATTATAAATAATTTTCTGCAGCCTACTAAAAAATCTCATGGAAAATCAGTCAATCGAACATCACCATCAACACCAGATGGTTTTTGGAATATTGACCTAGAACAACATGACAAGGGAAAGGAGAATGTTCCGGTTACAAATACGACTGATACTGAAGTGAATATTCAACACTCTTCCCGCCGCCGTCGACCTTTAAACTTTCCCTCATTTGAAATATCTCCCACACCAATTTAATAAGATTTACATGTAATTGTTTCCCACTGTTGTTTTTATCGACTTTTTATCATTTGATTAACAAACCCGGTAATCGTATATTCGTAACTTGTTTTTTTACACATTTCTACAAAATAAATTATCTACATTTTTATTTTTGTTACCTGTTATTCTGGTGATTTTCATTAATTATCAACTCATTGTTCAATCTTTTGTATTTAACTTTATCTCTTTATTCACGTATTAGCGTCTTATCCAATCCTGGGCTATCCTGTTCAATGATGAAATACCTCCATTTTTAAAAATCTCAAACATCTCCCGATAAAATATTATTCGAGGAACTCTAAGTGAACCAACCAAACAACTGGATCTGAACGTTCATAACTGTCCTATTGGTATTATTATCCTCAATGATCCAAATTGTTTTAACTAGATGAAAATTTTTATTTGTATAATCAGACAGACATCCAACCAATACAATGACTGAATGAATTAAGAATATACATTGAGTGATGTGTATTAGAATCACATCAAATGTCTCGCATATATAGGTCAGTGAACTAATCCTTTGAGATAATCCAAAGTCTATTCAGAGACAAATGTACACTGATAGACGTTTAGAATTATCCACGTACTTACTCCTCTTACCTCTCATAGAACATAGGCCACTGGCCAGGATTCTCCAACTAACTCTGTTCTAGGCTCTCCTTCCATTTGTTTCCAAGTGCTATTCCATTCACTTTATGTCTGCTTTTGATTCTCGGCGTGATGTGTTCTTTGATCTGCCTAATTTACTCTTGTCTTCAAGATCCCCAGTTAGGGCTTGTCTCATAATACAGTTTGATTTCCTATATATATATATATATATATATATATATATATTTCTTATCACCATCGAGCATCTTTTCCTGATTGGCCATACTGATTTCTTCGATCGTTGGTAGAGTAGCAGGCATGGTAAGTCTATATGTGCTACTTCAATGTCCAATAGATTTGGGCCATCCTGGAGATCTTCAAAGTGTTCTACTCACCTGTTCCTCTGTTCTTGAATCTCAGTGATTGGCTTGCTTTTTTCCTTGACTGGTCGCCCCAGTTTACTGTATTTCCCTGCTAGTTTCTTTGTTGTTTCATATTTACTTCTCTTGCAAACTTTTCATCCGTCATTGCTAGGTTTTACACGTATTTCTACTTACGGGCTCTAATGCTTCTCTTCATTCACTTGTTTGCTTCTGTGTATATGGTTTGCACCTTGACTTTCACTACTCTTGTTTGACTATTGTTAACTGCTGTCTTGTTCTTCCTTTCTTGAATTCTGCCCAGGGTTTCAATAGATTCATTCTGTATGATTGTGTTTCATGCGACAGCCTAATCAGGCCTATTGAAGCTAATGTTTTCTTCATGTGTCTCCATTTGTCCTCCATAATTGTTCTCTCTTTGAGTAGATCTTGTAGAGCTCGAAACTTATTACTGAGAGCGATCTTGGATTAGTTAAGTTTGTCAGTATCTCGAAGTCTGTATTGAACGTTTGTAATACTATTTACCAAGTTATCCAGTTCTTTAACTGAGCGTTCAGCTTGTGCATCATCACGTGGTGATCTTAAGCAATATCATTCCTGTTATGCCATAGTGTCTTTGCCTTTCATGAACCTTAAGATTTTTTATTGATTCAAATACGATCGATCCGTTTCTTTGTAACGTGAGACCTATGTAGCTTTATGTATGCTGTGGGGAAATATCGTGCCACTAATAGACATTTTGTTGACGGCACATGAATTTGACAATCTCGCCATTCTCGTTTCTTTCTCCATGTTGTTTCATATCTTCCTAATCGATGTTATCAATTCCGAATTCGAAGTTTAGGTCTACTACCAGGATAGTCGTGTCATTTTCACGGGCACTTCTCCACGACCGACTGCAGCTTCGTAAGACTGATCTTTACCGTCTTCGTTGCTATCATTGGTAAGTGCATAACACTTGATAACATTCATTCTGATTCTCTCATTTGTTTTGAAGAGTGCTTTGATTCTGGATCGATAAGATTCCCACACCGTAAATGCATATCGTGTTTCTTTGGATATAATCGGTGCAACTCGTTTATATAAAGCACTTTCTCCATAATCAGAGTACAACAATTCCCCCCAAATCTAACCCTTTCTGTCCAGCTTGGGTACAATGAGTTTAACTTATTCCAAGAACCACCGAGTATCTCATTTCTGCAGGAATTTGTTCCTTCCGGTCTCACATTCTCCAGTTATTACGTGAACTTATTCTAATTGTTGCTCTGTTTGTTAGAGGAGGGCATCAGCCTCGCAACTTCCGAATAATTTCGGCTTTCACCATGAGGCATCATAATTCTGAATTAAGATCCTTTAACTCTCAAGGCAGTGTTTGGACGGTTTGATTGGTTTTTTCCTGGTAAGTATTTTTTAGCAAGAGTGTTCCCTACAGGATTAGTTTCCTGACCCTTTACCCGATCCTACTTTACCCGAGATCGGGACCAGCAGTAACCCTAAAAGGGCTACAGTCTGAGTATAAATTAGCTTTATTACTAAGTACAAATAACTAGGATGGAACTGAAATTTCTTCAACAGTCACATAATTGTCTGCTATGCTAAACAGATGATTATAAGTTTATGTTGTCATATACGGAGATTTCTTGTCATTTAAAAACTAAAACAGTGCGAGTATTTACACGTTTTGGTATAGTTGAACTTGATGGAAAATGTTAAATCAAATCAACGGGTCACGAGTTGTGATTACAGCTTATACATATTCCTCGGAACTTAGATTTGTCCGATTGGACAGCAGTATGGTTTCGTGAAAAAGTAATGTATTACTACAAATGTGGTTGCTAGTGATTTTCTTCAGATGCTATTTGAAAATATGCAGTACAGTAGCGTTAAGGTTCATCAGTGTTATACATACCTGTTCCTTCAGTCAGTAGGTTTTTCTAGTTGATCTTAATACAGTTGCTATCTTCCTTAAATAATACGTTTCCCCAACTCTGCTGAACCACCTTTCGTCAGCCAACGTAAATGTCAGAGATCAACTACGAAAGTCTAAATTATTAATGGTACAATATAAAATTCGAAAGAGTTGCTCTATATCACCCAGTTTGCATGGGTTGGTAGAACAAGCAGACATACATAGCGTACTGTTCATAGCGTCGGGGGGGGGGAACCATATATTAATATGGCAGATAGATATGGTCTGTTTTTTTCAAGCGCCCGGTTGAGTGTCTAGGCGTCTACAAAATAAGTTATAATACGAGCATACCAAAATATAGATTCACAGTAATGACAATACTTAGGGAATTTGTAGTGTTTCTGTGGTATAGCAGACTTTCTAGTTTTAGTTTATGAAAATAAAACTAACGGAAGTAAATTTTGGCTCTATATATGCTTGTTACGAATATTCCTTTAGTGCTAAAAATGTACGACAAAGGCAAAATAAATGTAACCTAATTTCTATCAGTCGTAAATTTGTTTTGTATTCACGTTTTCCTGCAACAAAATGTTTATAAACTGATAATACATTCAACTCACATGTTTGCCGAAAACTACGGTTACTGATTTGAAATATTTACTATTTATCCTATATTTAGGATTTGTGAATGGTTAGTTTTGGTAGGTTCCATTTATTCGAGGAGTTACATATACGTTGCCTGAGTACTATTACATATTAAATATGACATACGTTATTCGGTATCATTTCCTAAATTCGCAAATCAGGGTTCTGGCTCCGCATATAATATTTGAGCTGTAACCTAGCATCCTTAGTCATAACGAGTGATGCGATCTGACCGACAAAATTAACCTTGAGATAATGCAAGTTTCGCCTCTATTGGTTTGCAGATTCGCTCAGCTTTTCCTATTCCCAACCAATACGAAAAGATGAAATTGCAGCTAAGGTCCAGTTCTCGTTTGTTCCAAGCAAATATGGGTTGATATTACGATGCCGAAATAAATCACATTATAAAATAGAAAATCATAGTTATACATCATGAGAAATGGCAGTTAGACCGGGCAAACAGATAAGCAATCAACTAGAAATAATGAGACGTAGTGTAATGGTTAGAGAAACAAGAAGGATCAATAAACGTAATATAGAAACATGGTAGTGCATTTACTTAGTAATTATGGAATAAAGGTATGAATAATAAATAGCCCATAATATTTTTGGGAGTTATCACTTCTTCAGCATTTTCTCAAACATTAAGTCACGAACCGTACTTCAGTTTTTATAATCTCCCCCCAATTTATAATCAAAAACCTAACCTTCGGGGCCTTGTTTCGTTTTCAGTAAAGAAAACCTGTTGAGGTGATGAGGTTAATACGATCTCACAATTTACTTCGCATTTTTGGCGGGTTAGTACATTTTTAATCAGACCGTGTTTGATGGCCTCTTGGTGGAAACGAGCGTAACCGAAGGGCAAGTGATGCTGCATTTGCTGAAGATATTCATAGTTTGACGACACCTTATCCTCATAGGTGACTTTTAATCTGAAGCATCATGCCACAATTAAATAAATATTTCTATAATCGAACTCCACAAGGTTGTTATAAGGATGCATCACGAAATATACCGTATTATAATTGGGATGCGCAATTTATGCAGACTAATATTTATTTCATTTCTGTATTTCCTGAATATGATAAGTGGCATTCTGAAGTTGGGAAGCAAACTCAGCTGGACTATTTCATATGAACTACCTAATTATGACGAAGTTATGTTTATCAAAAATCCTGTTCATATTTCAAAAATCAACTACCGAGAATATGAAGAGGTTAGTTAGCAGAGCTTACATGGATGTGAAAATACAGCATGGTCTATTACACTTATCTCTACCTGATTTCCAATAACTCAAGATCCTTGAATTTAATGGAACTGTGGTGTGTGCTACTGATGTCGGCTGATATGAGTATGATATATCATCAATCGGAAGTGAAATGCTTGGTGGCAGACGGTTAAGAAGATCAAAGAAAAGAATGAGAACAGGATGATTGGTGTGGAAACGAAGTCTGAGACGGTTGACTGATATTTTGCAAATGAAGTATTTACTCTATGGTTCTCACACTTTACTAAGACGTTCTGTAATTTTGTACTTAATCACATTCGATTATCCTCACTTGTGTTCTTGTTCACTACAGAACAACTAGCCGGGAAATTCATCCTTAAGTGTGATGGTCGTAAACTGATTACTCTATTTGTAAGATAATCGAGTTATAGTCTCAATTGGCCAATTTTGTATTGCGACTTAAGCTTCCAATTAACCTCAGATAAACCTGTCCGATCAATCATTAGAGAATGGGATATGAAAAACAGACTACTGATTCAGATTACTGACGGCGATAAGAAATTGGATGTTACTGAGGTATGATCAAATGAACGATTGAAGTGAATGATTTAGGATAGGTCTTTATGAACGGGATATTTTTTGACTCAATTACAACGGATAGGATTGTTCAAATAATACGATTCATTTATGTCTGTATTCATTAGAAATGGAGTCCAAGTAAAATACGATAGCAATAAGGTAATACAATGAAATGCTAGCCGTCTACCTAATCACAATGAAATTAGTTTGACTAAATATCAACTCGTTTATCAAGTACTTTGAGATTATTCAAATACTAACCTTTAATTCACTCCTATAAAACAACAATAAGTTAACACATACTTTGTTCATAATGCCTACTGAACTTCTAGTGGTTGTGAGTGTAATTGTGAACTTCATAATTCTTCTGATGGATCTAATCGATTTCTTTGATATATCAAGAATTCATCTGATCTATTTCAACATAGTCTACTGGGTATGAACTGTACCTTGATATTTCAAATTATATGTACTGTGGTGTACAAGATATGTTCGTATCGATTCTTTGATCGACAAACACCTAAATGCAATTCACCGGATGAGAATTACATTATGTACATAATTAAAATTATCTTAATTTCACATCTAATTATAATGGCTTCAAATCATCCTATGCGAATAAAATGAGTTCTTAACGTCTATAAGTGAAAAACGTATTGTTGGAACAGTGGATAGATTAGTTCATAAATTCAAACGAAATGATAAGTTGTAAAATTTGCCAGTTTTATGTTTGTTTATGAAATTAATAAAGTCATAGATTTTTCTGTCGAATTATGGAGTAATAACAGAATAAACTATTTAGTATTTATTCTTTTGTTCAATTATTTCTGTCGTATATATACTATCTTTCAGATACATTTGAATATCTAACATTAACGCTGTAAATGTATCTTTGTTTATTAGCACTGAATAATTATTCACTTCTGAGTTATTCATACATCGTCATTTGGCCTTACGTAGTTTGAAATGCATGGCATCATTGACTTTGACGCTCTGATTACTACGAGGATATTTCGAATTGTTTCTAAGAGGTCAAATTCTTGTCAAAAGTAAAGACTATAAAATAACGGGTTGACAAATGTTTAGCTAGTAATGTCTTGACAGATTGTACAATGAAACCTTCCAAATACCAGAAATCAATGAAAGGTAAATCTAATCATTGACGACCACTAACTCAGTAGATCAATGTCTCTTATTTCAGTGAAATTCGTCACACCACCTTCATACAAGTTCGTATTATTCACACTATGACTAGTTGTTTTCAGTTCTTTTGGATTGAACTAGATGGAGACGAAAAAATGGTAGTAATCTGAATAATTTTCGTATGATGATGGTGCAGGCTTTTTTGTCTGAACTGCAAAACTTCGTCGATTGACTTCTGCTTCATAATTGAGCATTCCGATTGATGTACTGAGACTAATATCGGATCATTTCTTGTATTTTCGATGAATTTTACTATGAGGAAAGTTATGTTTAAAGGTTTACTTGTTAGTATGTAACTTGTATGTAACACGATTTCAAGAAAAGAAATTATTCATTAAAATACAAATATGAAAATTATTATGATGCAGAAAACTGTAAAAAATAGTATAATATTTATGTTGTACACATCAAGAATACGTAATAACAGAAAAAAAATCGGAACTAGTAAAGATGAATGAAGTGTCTATTGATTTAATATCATTCAGTGTTCAATGTATTGACATACTCCTTAAGGAATAAAATACTAAAATCTTGTAATTATATGAAATGCGACTAAAAATGAATTATGATATCTAACTTTTTTTAAAATTTTAATGACTGATACAACATAACATAAAAACTATTTTATTGGAAGAACTCAAAGATTGAATATGAATTGGGAATAGTGTAAATAATAGCTAATGTATCCAAGTAATGCACAGAATCATAAACGTAATAAAGCATAGAAAAACCTTCCACAGAAAAATAACTACGAAAATAACCTTAATTCCTTTAGAAATGTGACATTATTTACTTTTGTGTAAAAAAAATGAATCTTTTCTGTTTCTATAGAAAAACTAACCCGGTTAGCAAAGAAATTACTGTTTGTTATGAGTATTACAACTATTAATACTTCTGACTACCAGCAACGGCAACAAGCAGAAGAACGATTATGATTGAATGAAATTAGGCGAAAACAGTTGGAAATTTTCTTGATTCTTAGAGGTGAATTCTCTGGGTTGTAAATTATCATTTGACTCTTCAAGTGTATTAGTTGGACGTGTTTCATCTTGTTTATCAATAAAGAACTGATTTGATTTGGCTCTTTTTATAGCAGTAATTGTATCTAGGCAAGCTTGAATAGCTCGACAATTTTGAATTACTTCAGGGGGATCAGCATCTGCATCAAGTTTAGCGGTTAATTGTTGTACTGTATTAAGTATTTTCATGAGAATACCATCTTGGATTTGATTATATAAAAATTGGTCATCGTCTGATGACTGAATGGTAATTTCAGATTGACTTTGAATTAATTCACGTGCGCTACTATTGCTACTGCTATCATAACTATTAGTAGTATTTGTAGTCCTTGAATTTGAACTGAATGTATTGTAACTGGAAAACTTATTATTCATACCTAAATTTTCAAAATGAACACAGCAACATAAAAGAATCATTTTTGTTTTGATAAATGGTAAAAAAATACCATCAATAATTCGCTTATTTGTAGGAAGTTGAAGTGTACATCGAATAAAAATCGAACCAAAGTACCTTTTGGGGATGATAAATAAAGTTAAATGAAAAGTAATGTAGCTGTTTAATTTAAACTGAGTACTTTAAGTTACTGTTAATGTTCCGTGTTTGTGTATTCAGATCCAGATACACATGCGGCGTGTTACTTAATCGACAGATATAAATATTATATACCACCAACCGGAAGTAGAAAACCTGGCAGCAGAAGCTTGAGAAGTTCGAGTTGAAGAGAATATAAATGGAAATAGAAAGGAATTGTGAACTTGAAGAATCATACAGAATGTTGAGAACAAATGATGGAAATTTGCAAATAAAGTATTCAGTGAATGGTTCTTATATTTTACCAAGATATTCTGTAATTTATTATTGAAATACAATGGTAGTCCCCACCTGCGTTCTTGATCACAAAACACGCTTCCTGTGAGTGGTAAGACAGAATAATTAAGAAACTATGGTTGAAAAATCAAATTAAGTGTACACGAATGATCGGAATTCACATATCTGTCCCTCTGACCTAGAAAAAAAACATATAAGCTGAAAAAACCTCGAATTATATGATCAACATTATCTAATAGATTGCCTTGTTTATCATTTTTCACTCACCATTCGGAACTGAGATGGCATATCAACACAGCCGTGTGATATGTCCGAATCCGCCCAGTCTACTAGTTACATAAAGAGTGCTCCATTTACTTACGTATGTGACACATAGCTTTTGGTTGAGAGGATACAATTTTCACTGATCATAGTTTACCGTTAAATTGAATTTGATCACCAATGTTGTAATTAAACAATAATAGTTTATATGACAGACAACGTTTTCTATCCTTAACTAAGCGTAGTTAGTGATGGATGGAATTTCCTCTCTCTTATCATGGGAGAAAATTACAAACCGTTATTAATTGAAAGTTAGCGTTCAGATCACAACTGTTAAAACAGTTTATTGAGCGTTGGTTAATTAAAACAATACGTCAATATTCACTGGTGCCAGAAAATAACACTATCGTTTGAATGCTTTTCCACATCACCTTCAATTTCGAAAATGAATTCAAATCAATCTACTTTCGTAGTAGTTTTATGAAATCATTCAAATCTATATGTTTTATTATTTTTTTTAATGCAAGGAAGTAACAAAAAGATTCATCCTAATGCATATGGAAGCATTCCATGAAGACCCTTAAAATTTAAAAGAATCTCGATCAAACTGAGTTTATTAAATTTATTTTTTACTGTCAACATCATTCACTGTTTTTATATATATGACGTCACACTGATACTCCTGCTATTCAGTAATCTTAGTTATCTTAAATCCATTTTAATAACCTGTATGATGTTAAACATGATCCTCACTAAACTTATGTCTATTATAAACACACATGTTTATTGAGTATTTATTTATCATACATTAGACATTTTAAAACGACACGGGGTAAATAATTATTGAAAATGACTACTGGATAAATTGCCGTAACATAGTTTACGCTTTTTCAATAGTATAAATACAGATTTATTATTATTATTACAGATTTATTATAATAAATCGAATCCAGGCAATTTAATATTCATGTAATAAAAACATTTAGATGAATGGAGATTTATTTGGTTTATATGTATCCTATTTAAATCAATTTACAATTTTCCACTACAGTCATTACGACCTAATGTCAAACAAATCACATACAACTGTTTTAGAGTGTTCCTCATAGCAAGTACTTCAATTAGACAAATAGTATAAATTTAAAAATAAGAAGGGAATCATTAATATAAACAAACAATAACGTGACCCATAATCCGCTGTAGAAACTTATAATTAAAAAGTATGTACTTATTTCGTCATGAATTAGCTGAACATTTCAATTTCTTTATTATTTAAAAATAAACAGATAGAAAACATAACCGTAAAAATATATTATTGTACTGAATTCTGTATTGTAAAATATAAATACAAATAGACGCGCACTGCTGAGGAGTCCCAAACTAGGAAGAAACGTTCGTCCAATGCTTCTAAATTTTCAATGGTGGTCTTACATTGATCGGTTCACGATCACAATTAAAACTCAACAATCTCTACAACCCTATACTGAAAATTGATGTGTTTTTATGGTTCTGAGTTTGTATCATAGTAGTAAACTCATTAAAATGATACAACTATTTATTATGATGGAATTGATTTACAGTTCAGGTGTATGCTTTTGATAGTGTTATATTCTTTGAGCTAGATAACTTAATTGTGAAGACTTCATTGTTGTTCTGGACAACATCATTTGTACCATTATCTAGCATATGAGAACACAACTGAATTAGAATTACTTATCATACATATGTATAAGCAAATATTAAAAAGTAAAATAAAATATTATATAGACTAAGAAAATTCAAAGTATATTATAGTAAAACACTAATATTCTAAAGATTAAAGTACACTGGCATCTATTAAAATCTAAATTTATTTATAGAAAGAAATTATATTTCATGTCAACAATGCCGAATGCATAAAATAATGTTAATTATGATAATGTCTATTGAATAATTCAATGGATTATTATCACTTTTAATACCATAGTGTTAATTATAGCAATGATATAAATTGAATAGATAGCTCATTTTTTATCATAGGCGCCATAATACTTATACCGATGTTTTATATTGTCTTATAGAAATATTTTGTAGAATATGTATGTATGTTTTATTTAAGTTAAAGACAAGTAATTATGAAATTTTGACAGATAACAGTAAAAATGTTTTTGAAATTTTTGGCATTACACAAATTATATTCCCATAATAATAAATTTATAACTAAAGATCTATGAGTATATAAATATATAAGTAAACATCTAGGGATTGAAATATATCAGAAAATATCAATATGTGTACATTAAATCACAGGCTTCTTGTATTTATTTACATTTTTTGTAAACGTTGAATGCATATTATTAACTCTTATTTGACATAAGAATGAGTCACAGTAACAAGTTCATTTTTTCTCTTATTTCTTACAACAATTAAGTCGAACAGAAAAATAAGTACGATTATTATTATTACCATTACTACCATTACCATTATTATTACCATTATTATTATTATTATTATTATTATTATTATTATTATTATTATTATTATTATTATTATTATTATTATTATTATTATTATTATTATTATTAATTTGATCGTCATTACTTCGGTCACATTTCACTATACATTTTAATCGAGTAAGCAAATATTTTGCATAAAACTCTTACCTATTTAAAAGATATAATGATAAGGAAATTTTGATAAATATTTAATCATGAAAATAGTATAGAAATTTGAAGTAGATACATGGTGCGTGCTACTTATATCGATGTAACTAGTATATGACGCAAGTTAAAAACGCAATGTCTGGCATCAGAAGATGGGAGAAGATCAAGAAAGGAAAAGTGACAACACAATGTAATTTGTAAGAAAACGCATGAACAATGAAATGTGAGACAATGGATTGATGTTTGCAAGAGGAACAGCCCAGGTTGATATGATGCATTAATATTTTACAAATTAACGATTTATTATATAGTTTTTCTATTTTACCAAGTAACTCTGTAATTCATGCTTTATACAATTCGGTTGTCCTCACCTGTGTTCTCCTTCACTACAGAAATTTTTTAAAATGAATTTTAGGGATTTATTTTTACTGACGTTTTTGATACTTAACTTTTAAAAAAAAATTAATAATAAATGATACTTTTCAAGAATTCAAATGATCAAGAAATTCATGATCCAATAGAAGTAAGATGAGATGAGAGTTAGTTAGATTATGAAAATTGTCATCGAATTCAAAATATTTTAAAAGATCAACATTCACAAAATGTATGGTAAGGTGAAATGATCAACCATTTTAACTGAATAGATATCATTAACAAGATTAGACTTGATAATTTCGAATAAATTGAGCATTGGGTAAATTATTATAAATAAATTAATATACTTGTAATATACCAATGAGTAGAAAAATTAGATACTGTGACGTTTTGTAACTCAATGTAAACCAATTTTTCAGAGAATAAATAACCAAATCAAAATTAATTAGCTGAGATTAGATAGAATGTACATATGTAACACCACCACAAAGTACATTAATAATTAATCCTCAATGTTAAAGGGTTGTGTAAGGTGAGTTATCACGTGATCTAGATTTGTGCTTGAACATACTAAACGAGTAGTAGAGAGAGGAACATACAGTTTAAATGAACTAGAGTTATTTTAGCTCGATTATCAACTGACAAAGATGGTATAGAGGAAAGGATAGTAGTATAAAGAATACACTTGCCAAATTTATGCAGTTCATATGTTTATTTTCTAATAATTCATCAAAATACAATAAGGTGATTGCAAAAAATCACCTCTTACCACCCAAACATTACTAAGGTGGTCTAGTTAAACCATAAGAAATAGGTACCATAGACAAAGATGTAAATAGCGTAGCCGAGTTTTTTCATTATATTCTCTAGATAACAGACATCGATAACTTCTGAGTATTCCTTTGGTTATCAAATGTTGATCTAATTTAAATAGGTTATCTACCATTTTGACTCGATAATTCGACATTGGTTGCCACTCAGAGACAAATTAATTTGAACATCTCTCTTATTATAAGAGAACGAGTATTAGGAAAGCTAAAATTCTTGGCGCTATTTTTTAGATTATCATTATTTATACCTTTGTTGTATAATTAATAAAATTTTTGTTGCATCTCTAGCTTTCAGTGGGCCTATTGACTATTGTTATACTTACCACTATTCCCTGATTATTGCTGGTTAATCATCTACTGTTTGCTCCATCCTCAATCATTTGTAGCATAATTGTGCTAAAAGTGTGACTTCTTATTTGATATACTGGGTGATCAAGCATTTTCAGTATATTATTGTTGTTTGAGTTTTGAGGTATGATGGAGTTAGGTATAATAGAGGGTTAATCTGCCTCCTACCTGCGTATTCTGATTTTTCACTGAATTAAAAAGAACCCGAAAACCAATGAGCGTTAATACTCGATGTTGTTCATCAGTCAGTGTGTAAATTCATGAAACAAGTCACCGATGCGACTGGGAATATAGTACGTGATATCGATCATATATCTATATATTACTCCGATCTCCTTTGCTATTCATCAAGTCAAATTCATGTTAATGGAGTACGGAAATTTGAGCCAACCCACATCTGTCCCTGAATATATTAATGATAATTCACTTTCTTGCTTAATTCTTGTTGTCTAAGCGTCTAAATGGGATATTTTTTTTTAGCGGAAATATGGTTAATTAAGATGGCGTTAATTAGTAAAATAAGCTACAAAATTGTAAATCATTTTCTGTAGAAAGTACCTTGCGATCGAATATACAGACATGTGAGCGTGCATATAAATACTATTACATATAAAGAGATGATGCTACAGTTTTCTTTAAGACTATTTGACGTGGAGAACCATTTGCGATTGAAATAGACAATTATAAAGATGTCAATAAACATTAAAGCACGTAAAAACTGGTCTAAAATATAAACACCACGTGATATATATATATATATATATATATATATATATATATATATATATATATATATATATATATATATCATAGATATATATCATAGATATCGCAGTAATGAGTCAGCGTCTAAGCATTCGTTGTAAAGTCTTAATTAAAAAATTTACTACGCCATTCGCCTTACGTATTGTAACTTTGTCAGTGTAAAGCACTGAGCAGTAGTTAATATGGTAAAAACATAATCATACTGTAGATGATTCATTCAGAAAAAATGAATCCTGAATTTGTTAATTGTAATCTAATGGTTCTTTAATAAGTACAAGACCTTTAGCTCTAATAACTATGTTTGGCTGGGTACTTTCGCATTGTTTGAAATTGTTTTGTTATAAGCAAGATTAACAAGATACCATGCAATTATATTTAATGATTATCGATATTTGTCTATAGAATATATTTTGATGTTATAAATTCTTAGTATATCTTATGCCTGACTGTCTAGTAAGACGGTGTCCTAACATACATTTAAAACTAAGCATTGACAAAAGTTTCATTTATTAGAAAGACAATGTCAGCTAAGTTTATTACACCAATAGTAGGATATTATCGTATGAATTTTAATTTGTAAGCACTACCATAATTACCATGACACCAGGAATCGATCTCAGAAAACTATTGAAAATATAGAAACACTGGAAAACCGTTTCGTTCTAGTAAGGGATTCCTCAGCAGTGCGTATACACGATTCCGCAATCGGAGACAAAAAGTATCTTCGGTCTCAGTCATGAACTCTTAAACTCTACACTACTGAGCAAGGATCCATCTGCAACGTTGGATTCCTGCTCACTGGTTTAGAAGTTAAGCGTTCGCACTCGAACCGTGGGTTCTGAGTCCGATTTCCGGTTGTAGGGACGTGGGTATGTACTGATGAGCAGCTATACACTGTAACTGAATGGCCATCCAAGACTCCCAGGTTCTCAAAGGTTGATTAACTTAGGTAGGTTTGTAACCTCAGTAAAATCCAACGATCTCCACGAACTCATACTGATAACTCGCCTAATTATTCGAGTCAGTGAAATTCGTCGGTGTAATAAATTATTATACCCTTTTAAGCGAAATTATGATCATTAATTAAAAAGGCAAAAGAATCAACACTTTAGATATTGGAGATTTTGTACTCATTGTAGAACATGAGGTACTAAAGATTTGTATTTTTTGGTAGATTTTCGTTCTTTGAGCTGGATAGCTCAGTTGTGAAGCTTTCACTGACATAATTTGACACAAATCAATAACGAAATACAAATTCATGTAACCGGTTTTAAGTGATACTTGATTATCTTCGGATAGATTAGTTGCTAATCAAATGACTTAGCTGAAGTTAACAGAGCAGAATTTGAACCTATCTCCTAACAGCTATTCACTCTCTCTCTCTCTCTCTCTTTATATATATATATATATATATATATATATATATAGCTCAGGTGGAGTTTTCGGAGGTGGATGATTTGGTCGTGGAGCTTTCGACGTTCTTCTGAACGTCAGGCAGTTACCAGGTTATGTTGAAGAGTTCAGACTTCCTGATTTAAGTAAACGAGATAATCGTAATCTTCAGTCAAAAGGTTTAAATGATATGGCTTAAAATCGATTTCAATAACACAATTGCATTCATTCTTCATCATATTCTTCTTCTAAATCATCAGTTTAATTTTGTTACATCAGAGGTGGCCAAGTCAAGACATAAAATTGGTCGATGAAGTGACTGATTGTCGGACTGAGCAATATAGGTAGGTGCAGATTCCTTGGTTGGGTTCCTATCAAATTTCGTAACGAATGGTCAGAGACATCGAATAGCACAACTCAGAATCAGTCACAATAGAGCAGATGATTCATTTTTACTCTTTAAATACCCGTAAGTTCTGCTCTGAAAATTCATTATTTCATAATCATATTTCCTGTGCTTAATCTTTTCTACTAATGCTGATACTGTTAATATTTTTACTATTTTGGCATTTATCCTGACAACTCCGCTTTGTCGCACCGATTCGGTAACAATTTGAACCGATGAAAGTATGTGCCAGATTCCACGTTGCTTATTACTGATTGACTAGTGTTATTATACACTCTCCATTTCTCAGTTTCATTTCTTTCTTTCTTGGTGTATACTCCTCATGCTTAGTTTTCTACTAACATTGATATGACAAATTCCAGCCATTTTTTGATCTTGTAAGGTTTCTGTTTGGTTGTGGTTGGATGAAGTGCGACAACGTGAGAATACATACATTTTGGCCAGGTTTTAAATTGTTTTCGACTGACTGACTGATCAACTGATGATCTGTATTGTCATTAAAATTTTAGAATTTATAATATATTGTAAACGATACTCGCTTCTTGACCTGATCTATGTACATAGTATCATCAAATTAACTTGCCCCAAAAAATGATTTTATTCTAACATTTGTGATTAAGATAATACAAACCTGCTGTGTGAAATATCAATGAACAAAATGTTACACCTGACTTACAAAAAATTTAATATAAGATTATTATTATTATTAATGTAATTAAAGTTGTACTAACCATGAGAAAGTAACTGTGATGAATAATTCGTCATAGGAGTATTATTAACCGATATTTGGTAATTATCTACCATTTCCAATTTATTATTATGATCTTTATCTTGATAGAGTTGATGTGAAAATGTATCATTATTATCATAGAATCCATTCAACGAATTGACTCCGTCTTCTTCAACAGATTCACGTATTTTCTCCTTTTTCCAATGAATTAGAAAGTTCGGAGATGATGATTTGTGACCATTTACATGAGTGTCTTATGATTGACCATGAATCCCATTTTGAAAAAGAAAACAATAAGAAAATAGTACTTTTATGTAACAAACCAAATTGACATTATGTATAAACTTCCAGAAAATATTATCCCTGTTTATATCCGATTGGAAATAAAATAAAGTGCTGGCCCAACATATTTTATTGAAAGTTAGTTGAAGTGAATTCAATCGAGATAGACGGTAGTATGTCTTAATACATTGTTTGATTTAAGATGTTTGAAAATAAGAAAAAAAAGTCTAACTTCCGTAACTTTGCACAAATTTACAGACAAGCACATTTACAGATAGAAAAGAATAAGTAGCCATTCAAATGTTTAGAATGGCACTTTTTGTTATAGTACTGACACACTACTGTGCGCTGTCCTGTTCGATAGAAAAAACTGGATTCCGAATAGTGTTTATACATCTCATGCATTTATATTTAACCCAACTGATCCCACGAAGGGAACGTGAGTCATGGTTTTCGGTTTGATGAATAACTCACCTACTAACTTGCCGTGATATGAAACGTCATGTAACTTACCTAGTGTACTATGCATATCAATTTAACACCAATCAAAGACAATTCTTGTGAAATATGGTTGACTTGAATAAATAACATCAATAAACAATAGTTATTTTAGTTAAGTATCAAACCCATTACTACAGATGTGATAATCAGAATTGAAAGTTTGACTGAAAGTCCCAATATCCTTGAAAATTAGGCACAACCACATTTATTTCACCCAAAATTATTTAGTAACTCTGGATCGACGATGAATTCGTGATTCTCATCGTGTAGTATAACAACGCCTTTAAATAGCAGTAATGACAAATCTCCTAATTGTTACTTTTTCATACATGATAATCCAACTATATTATGACTAGACGAGTATTCTTAGGTATTGTCTACGTCATCAGAAGTAAAACATAAATGAAGACTTTCCAGAAATTTCACCTTAAAATCAGATAGGCTTGATAATTAAGTGAAATAACGGCTACCTATCTTCAACATGTCTTTAAATTCAGGTGTATGACTCAAACTAAAGAAATAGACTTATATGATTTGTTTATCATTCAAAAATAATTCTATATAAATTCAACTGGTCACATATACAATCTGAAATAAGCGCTTTTTTTCAAAAAAGGAAATATCACATTAGTAGTCTCATTAAACTACTAAAGTCCTATGTTTTTATATGAAGCACATTAAACATACAAACTGCAGGATGGGTGAGACAGGGTATGGAGATAAAAGTAGACAATAGTGAAGAGATGAGTCATATTATTGTATTTAAACTAGTAAGCACTAAAATAAGAAACAAAGCCAATTGAGATATGCGTAAGTGACTCGCCAATGTTCGCCCACGTTCTCCCATCATGTACACATATATAATAGTAAAGCTGTTATTTTGAACAATTTAGGTAAAGGGGAAGGAAACATGCGACTTACACATGTGCACTATTTTTATCACAAAGGCAAATGGAAAAAATGTTAACAGACGCTTACTAATCTAAAAATACTATTAGAGCACAAGGTCATAGCTAGGTAACTATAGTTACTGTCTAGTGAGTTTGTATATTTAGAATGTATAGTAGAAATTACAGGATGTTTACGGAAACATATTAAGGTAGCATAAATTGTAAAAAGGTAACATATAGATTTCCCAACAAATCCAAACTCATAATCTGGTTCCAAACATTACGAATATAAATAGGGATTTTGCATGTTCTCCATGTTTAACAGTATCCCAAGACAGTGAAGTTTCAATGAGTAGCCTTCTTACTGAAAAGTACGAAATAGGAACATTATGCTGCCGTCAGGTTGTTTTCTTATATGAATGAGATGAACACTTGATAAGGGATTATACACAAAGTAAATGTAATAGAGATCAGTGAGAACCTTTTTAATTGTGAACTATTTTACTGTTAAAGGAAGTTGAATCAAATATCCAGGATATCCATAATATTGCTAATTACTTTCAAAGATACCTTGCAGCTTCTATAGTCAATCCAGCTTTGTAATTTAATTGCTGAAATACAATAGTCTATGCCAACAGTGGACGTTTCTACAGTCCGTCCAGAATGTATCTACCCAAGTACTAATAAGCCTTACTTTAAGAATGCAGTCATCAAAGATATTTTCAAAACGGAATGCCACTAACTATTCGGACTGAATGAGTGATGAAATCTTAAGAGTAAATGATTGCCTTTGGATGTGTTCAGTCACTCGTCCATTAGGAAATTGTTTGTTGTACGGAACTTACCACAGCCATCAATATTACTCTCACTGACTGCCATTGATTTGGAAATTTTATTGAATAAATTATTCGAACAATTGTTGAAAGAAGAACATACAATTGGATTTGAATTTAGGTTTGTAGAACTGGAAATATGATGAAATGATGGTAGACAACAATCATTATTGCGATTCACAACTCTACTGTTAAGTCTTGGGTAATATGAACAGCAATAAGTAGTAGTGCACTGTGCTAAACCTCCAGTTAAATTAGGATCGGATGCTGTGAACAACCCGACAGAATTAAGCAAACTGTCATTGACTAAACTTGATGTTTGTAAAGAAGGTGAATTCATAGATTCACTTTGGATTGGCGTATTGTTGAATCGACTGTAACTGTCAGAAGACAGAAAGATATATATATGTATATATATAGTTATTATTATCATTATAACTATTATTATTATTACTATTCATTAGTGTGATTTGAAATTCGTAAGTAATTTTACTAGATTTTTTTTCAACTTAGGTATTCGTCCATATGTTAATCTTAGATAATAGAGATAACTGGCAGTGTGTTTGAAGTGTTTATTTACTCTATTATGCCATGTTTGTTAAGGTAAGATTGGGTTAGAGTACAATTTAAGGTTGAATAAACCAAGATATTATACCGTTTCATGAAATTAGCCAATGATTTTGGAAGCTGTGAGTCGGTTTAACTTTGTTGGTTGAACACATTGGGATACTAAACATTAGTGGATGGAAATTCATTCTGACGACGCAAATCCATTTACTACTTATTTGATTCTCAACCTTAAAAAATATTTATTAGCTATTTTTTTTATTCTGAGCCACGTTCTTTCCGTTTATTTTATTATATGTCCATTTCATACACATAGTTCCCTTTATCATTTTGAAAAGAGCAAGAACAAACATCCTAGCAGAATAGCATGAATTCATTTTTATTTCGTTGGTTCTCTTCAGCTGCTTACAACCTGTGATATTTAAAATCGTAATTATATATTGGGTTTAAATTACTTACACGAGAGAGTTTATTTGGAATTTATATTGAAGACATATTAGTATAGTGTAGCAATGGTGTAAGTATGTAAAAGAACATTCTACAACATTGATTGTGACAGCAGTTCAAACTAATATGTCTTCAATATAACTTCCAACTAAACCCTCTCATGTAAGTATTTTTAACACATTATGTAATTACGATTTCAAATATCACAGGTTGTAAGCAGCTGAAGAGAACCAACGAAATACAAATGAATTCATGCTATTCTGCTAGAATGTTTGTTCTTTATCTATCCATTTGTTGTTTAATTTGTTCTATGCTGTTGGGGAGCTTTGAGACTTCAAGGAGTGTACCGTGATACCGTGTCTTAAATTGATATCTGTCTGTATTGGGTAATCATAAATCGGAAAACATTTAAGATAACTTAAAACTGTAATAAAAGTGATATAAAGTTTTGTATTTCAGATATAATCATTCGCTATTGAAATAGTATTAGTACTGTATATTATTATTCAACTCTTGGTTTCAAAAATTTCCTTTGTCTATTTTTTTTCGTTGAATTTCGATGCCGCTTTCGGTATTACATTTAAATATTTTAGTATTCTATTTTACTTGTGAAACAATATAAACTATTGTATGATATTTTTGTTATGCGCTACCCTGTTTAAATTTATCTATGTTTTAATTTTCTACGGATAGTAGAAATACTTCGACTGAAAGAGAAACGCTTTAAACATATATGAACTTACGTCTAAATTTGATTGAATAGTTTCACAGTATTTGGGCGCCGAGTTGATGTGAGACATTAAAGAGGAAGAATGTATTTGTAAAATCTCAGTGAATGAATTTGAAGTAAATACAACGTTTCACCTGGCAATCTGATTGAAGGTTTTTCAAGGAAATACAATCGAACATCAAAATTATCTAATATAAATAGGTACATAGTTCTCCAGTTCACTGTATAATGAATAGGCCATCCAATCAACGTTAACAATGTTTAAAGTAAGTATCTGCAATAATTTTTATGTTTGATTATATTTCCTTGAAAAAGCTTGGACCAGATTGCCAGGCGAAACGTTGGATTTACTTTTAATTCATCCGCTGAGATTTTACAAATACATTCTTCCGCTTTAAAAATATGTACATAAATGATCTTATTTTAAAATATACTGACTTATATTTTATCAGAAGCAGCAAACATTCTGATAAGCTTTTTCCATTAAATTATTCTCATCAGGATACACATCAAATAATTTTTAAAAACAAATTTATTCATCTCTCCTTATAATGCTTCTAACTTGAACCAACAATCGAGGCAGTCCGCACAGGATGTACATTTGCCAATAGCAAACTGAAACATTGCATTCCTAAACATAAATGGAAAGATTCAAACAGCCAATACAAAAATGAATTAAATTCACAGGTTTCTTGTTTCGAAATAAATTTCTCTCCATCTATCTAATTTATGAGATAGGTTTTATCTAATTTTACTCGATTGCATTTCAGAAGTAATTCTTCAATCCAATTATCGACGTGAACAAATACTAAAAACAAAGTATTACGGAATTATGCACTTCTCTCAACAGTGATTAATCTTAACTGATAAGAAAAGAGCTGTCAAAAAATATATGTGTACACAAAAGGCATTGAATACAGACTACTATTAAAACAATAGAACTATATCAATTCATCAGTCAGTCAGATGCAACTTAGGACCAGGCACATATATGCATCGGTCCAAGTTGCCATACCTCATTAACACAACAAGATGAACACCGGATTCATAAAAGTAGTTAATTCAATGATGGTAATATATAAAGGAAAGATTGCATATAAGAACATAGTACAGCAAGAAAGATATGAAGCGATTTTATCCTCTTAGTTTAAAGGAAGACAGAGAGTGTATACACTTACACGATTGTAACCGATTCTGAGCCATGTCACCAACAGTCTCCAACCATTGGTTACGATAGTCACGCGAACCCCAACTAATTAGTCTACATCTACCAACATGACACAGACCACAAGTTAGTGACTTCAAGCATTGATACTACGTTTTGGTTTGGCCGCCCCTAACTTTCTTCCAACCATCCCCAACACCCGTTGGCATTGCACGTCGTGATAATCAATGTTCACGCATACCTAACACGTCACCCAATCATCTCAGTCGATGAAGATTTACAACCTCATCAACTGATTTACCATCATTCCCTAATACCCTGTGTCTAACCTCACTATTACTTACCCGTGATCCCAGCAGATGCCAGCAATAGTTCTAAGGCATCTGTCGTCAAATACTAGTAGCTTACAGGTATCTTCGACTCTTAGTGGCCATGTTTCGTAGCCGTAAATTAAAACAGAACGAACTGCCACGCAGTATACTCATCCTTTTATTGATAGACGGATATCTCGCCTACTCCGTGGTTGACGTAAGTTGGCAAAAGCCAAACGAGCTTTTCGAATCCGTGCTGAGATTTCGTCAGACACCAAACCATTAGGGCTGATCAGACTTCCAACATAAGTGAAGTTGTCGACACGTTCGACTACTTCACTTCCTATCCTTAGTTCAGGTGCTGACGCAGACCAGTCCTGAAGCAACAACTTGCATTTAGAGGGAGAGAAGCGCATTCCAAACATTCTGGCATTTTCTGCTTAGTGCTACCAGAAGACTCTGCATTTTATCAGCGTCTTCACCAAACAGGACTATGTCATCTGCGTATTCTAAGTCGATAAGTGGACCTCCTGGAAGGAGATCAATACCAGAGAATTCATTCGACGAGAATGTTATTTCCATCAGTAGGTCTATGATGAAATTAAACAAAAATGGAGAAAGTGGACAGCCTTGACGGACACCACTTGAGGTTGCAAAATCAGATGACAGTTCGCCATTAGCTCTTACTCGACTAGTACTGTTCGAGTAAAGAGCCTTCACAAGGTTTATGTACTTCTCAGGTAAGCCTTCCAATTACAGACACTGCCACAGAATCTCGCGGTCTACCGAGTCAAATGCTGCTTTTAAGTCAAGAAAGACCACCATTGTCGGACGCCGATATGTATGCCTGTGTTCTAGAACCTGACGAATGGTGAATGTGTGGTCGATGCAGCCACGATCAGGTCTGAAGCCTGCTTGATTCTCTCGTGTTTGCAGTTCGCGAGACTTAGTTAGGCGTCCGATAACTATCGAGGCTAGTATTTTAGATACTATATATTAGTTAAACTAATCCCTCTATGGTTGTCACAGGATGATTTTGACCCTCTCCTATATATTCGGACGATCAGTGATTGTGGCCAGTCAGATGGAGTTACGTCCAACTCCCAGATCTTAGCTAAAATATTAGTCAACCTAATCAATCACTGAAATTGGACCACCATCCTTAAAGACCTCTGGATCCAATTCATCTGGACCAGCTGCTCTTCCTCATTCTTGGTTAACTATAGCCTTTTGCACTTCAGCTAGAGTTCGGGGACCTAATTCAATGTTCCATTCACACTGTCTGGGAATGAAGGGTAGTTGTAGAGTAGCTGAAGGCCAGTTGAACTGTTCTCAAAAGTATCAATTCATACTTTCCAACCGATTTTTATGCTCAACTATTCTAAAGAACAGATAGTCTATGGTGATGAAAGTTTGTAAACATACTTCAAATTATAACTTCATTTAAGAAGTAATCATAGAAGTAATGTTAGTTACACACTATCGTAAACTGTCCAGTGACATGTTATTTATGGTGTAACGGAAATAATAAATCCAACTAGAATAGAAAGCCTTTAAGATTTATGCTACAAAATACCTAAGATGAAACTGATTTGTCATTATCTTTAGAAGCCGATTTGAAATTGATAACTGACTTGAATGAAAACCATAATAAGCATATGAGACGTCTGCATTCTTACTTTATTATTTTTAGTAATTCATTCAATTGTTCGTTATTAAGGAGAATAATTTGACGTTGACAGTTGTGTTCAAGAGAACTGACGTCTATTGAAGGTGAACTTATATCAGATTGCTGAGTTTTTGACATATTATTAATTATGGAATTTCTTTGTGAATTATCATTTATAAAGTCTCGATTACTATCGTCTTCATCAGCAGTAGTACCTTTCCGTGTGATGATCTGAGAGGTTTTATTTATTCCTATTAAATCATTTTCTGAACTATGATTATAAATACTGTTCGATGAAGTGGCCAGGGTAGTTAATTTTTTGAAACTTTCTGATTTTGATACTTTTGACAAGGAATCCTCATAAACGTTCGAAGAATTATTTACATCTATAATTTTTTAAAAAATTCAACAAAAACAGGGAGATCAACGTAAAATACCTTAAACAAAGATTGTTGTCAATTGAATCCGAATAGATGTTTGTTTTTCAAAGCTCCCAAAACAAAATTAAAATATATATAAAGGATTGAGCTTTCATGTTGTTGATATTAAATATTTTAATTTAATGGTCTATATTGACACTATATGCTTCTTGAGAAAATTTTGTCTTTGTTTGCTAGTTATAGGTACGTTTGGATCTTAGCTAGTAGTAGGTTATAGGAGACACATTCCGTCCTGTTTTGAATTCATTAGTTGGATATATCTGAATCTTACTATTGATGTTCGCATTCAAACAGTTATAATCCCTAGTATTAACAAAGATAAAATTCAAACCCTTACATATAAATTCATACAGACTAGACAAGCTAGTAACCACTTGGATTTATTAGATAAGTAGATAATGCGTCAGTGTTTGAAGTGATAAACACTGGGTTCGAGTTTCACTGAGAACATTAATCAAGGGATAAATGTACTTCTAGGTAACGTGTCTGAAATAAAACGAAATGGTTGTCCTGAATTCTACAGCTGGTCACATTTCTAATGTACTTGTAACCATATTTTTTAGACGTAGTTTTAGCTCAGAGTTTGAAAATTCATGAAAAGTCATGGAATATTTATGTCAGTTGTCGGATGAAAGTCTATTTTTTTTAAAAAAAAACCCGTCTAAGTAAGGCAAACAAATACTTATTCAAATTGATAATATAACATAAGAAATTAGGAAATTTAATGTATAAAGCGAATAATTCTAGTCTTTTCTGCTATCATATGATTAAAGTGAATTTCATATCAAACATATTCTCATAAATTTAATAGGTAGTAATAAATTTATCGTTGACAAAATAGAGATAACAGGGTGTTCTAACTGTTTATTTAGAAAATGTTTTGATGAACAATATGTAATGTGTGATTATGTAATTTATCATGTTCGAGAATTGGAGGTAATACTTAAAAATCTGGAATCATTGACTGATTTACCAGTGACTTGAAGTAAATTTTACCTTATATATAGCATGAGTTCGATTAATACCATTGATGATTTTGATATTTCGTAATATAAATCAAAACATTTTCTGAAGGATAGAGTTTCTTCAAGATGATAATAGATAAACCCAAACGTTTGATCTGGCACTTAACACCAACTACCTTCAAACAACAAATACTGTCCAGTATAGTCATTTATTATAGTAATTAAACTATTACCCTGGATGATAAAATCCATTCACAACTAAAAAGCAAACTGTACAATATTGATTACATTCATTAATGACATATTTTGTTACATAACATGTATACTTGTTTTATTTTATTAAAATAATATGTCACTGGGAATATATCATATAATTAGTTGCAGAAAATAAGATATTTACATAGCAACAGATGATTATATTATATTCCAATGTAATAAATAAGCAATTTGAAGGTGATTGGCATTATTAAATCAGTATTAGTTAAAAAATAATTGCTTCTTACTTCCTAGTTTTCCACAATTTTCTGATTGATAAGAATTTGTCAAGATAATCATTACCAGTGAGTTATACTAAATCTTAATAAAACAATCTGAATTTAGATGGATAAGCACTGAACGAATGACATTCACTGACATGTAAAAGTTTTTACAGTGAATTTAAAATAACAGCGGTTATACATATAATGTATATATGTATATATACACATGCAACCCATTTAAACTTTATCATTTAATTGTAATAAAATAAAAATATTGATGAAAAGAAAGACATTTCAATGTTTATATATGACGGTTTCTTCTTGAATACTCACCTAAAACTGAATTACTATTGAATAACTGGTATTCTTCACTAGTCAAGATATTATTTGACAATTTCTTTGGAGGTAAAATACATTTTGAAATATTAGAGAGATCTTCCTAAACAAAATATAAAAAAAAGACAATCAAGTCGAGATTTGATCGAAATAGATAATATCTACTTTAAGATAGTTTTCCAGCACAAAAGGATATTGGCTAGAAAAACAGGAAGAGTTAAACACAGTTGTTTCATTTTACATTGAAATTATTCTCGGCGATGAATAATCACAGTCATACACGAGATCGATTTGGAATGATAAAATAACTCCCGATCAAAAAAACTGTTTTCATAATACTGACTAGATGCGATAGAGCGTCTATTGAAAAGCTGTGAGTGATTGAAGTTAACCATTTCGTGATTAACGTATATATTCTTGATATCATTAAATAGTCGTGAAGCTTTATTCTGTATCGAATGACATTAGAAATGATCTTTGGGTTTTAGTTTAGTCATGTCATTCTCACAGTGTATAGTGGTACGCTTATACATTAGTCACAAGTCCAAATTAAGGTAATGAGATCAGTTCATGGTCATTAACTTTTAGAGTGGGCCATATTGAAAGGTGCACACTTCTGTTTTTAAACCTTAGATCATACAACACCAAATTGGGCACAATAACATATCTTCTAAATTCTGGACTTAGTGTTATTTTATTGTCGTATTCCTCTACCTATATTTTTCCTTCTGAAATGTAAATCTTATAATTATTTTTTTACTACGTTTAATGTTCGGATTCTCATCCTTTTGATTTGAATCTCGCTAAGTTTCTTTTTTTCATGTTGTTCTAAGCTAACGTTTGGCAACTTGGATCGATACATATTTGCTCCAGGGTCTACATCAAGTATATCTTATAGGCTGATCTCAATCTGCGTATCAGTGACAGTGGACTATGTAGAAACCAATGTATACGGAATGACAAAACTAACAACCATTTGAAACGGTAATGAGTTTTTTCTGTGAATTTTCTAGTAATGAGGAAGTAGAAAAGAAGAAAAATTTTGAACTGTATACAAGAAGTCAATTTGTTTTCCCAACATTATATAAATAGTGTTTGTAAATCTTACCTAACTTTTTCATTCACTCATATCTATAAAAGTTATATTCTTTTTGCTAAGAATAATATGTTTGAAGTATTTGTGTTATTTTTACGTAAATAAATCGAGAACTTACATACAATTGGATAACTCGAAAACCCTAACAATAGATCTGTTATCACAAGAATTTTTGCGATGGTATTTTGAGAGTAAATTATTCTGACCTATGGAAACACTCTTAATCTAACACGTAATTTGATGCATTTTAACATACACTGATGGTCTATGTTTAGTTTTAAAGGATTAGAAATTAATTATGAAGAACTATTTTGGTACTTATCTAACAAATTTGATTTAGAATTAACTACTTCATACGTGGATCTCAAAGAATGATCTTCATACTATGTATATTGTATGTAACACTGGAAACGTTGATATTTACAGAATAATATTCACAAATATGTAATATCAGATACTTAATGGGTTATATACGGTTTCAAATATAAACAATCAACGTTTTCAATAGTTATTCTAGACATTGTTGACCTGGTATTTCAATGAAATTTTTAATTTGATCTTCTAAATTTAGTATTTTGTACTACTATTTACGCCAGCCAACAAGAGAAAAGCATTAGCCGCTACATGTTAGATTTGATCGATAAGCATAATTGTTAAATAACACCAAAAGTCAACAAATATATGTCAATAATTTCCTGAGAAACATTCGGTATTATTTTTTTTAATAAAACAAATCTCACCACAAACAGTTTATTTGTAGTTTCAGTTCAATCTGATGCTGACAACCAATTGAATTCGAGAAAATATGAGAAAATTACTCAACAAAATAAACAAGGAAATTATGATGCTGTTAACTCGTGATTTAATACATTCCTAGAATGGTCACCACATCAATGATACTTGAACATCATAAGACGAAAATGTACTATTATCACACCATATGATCAAAACGTATTATTATTATTATTATTATTATTATTATTATTATTATTATTATTACTATATCATATAATCAGCTGTCTATCAGATAAGACTAATATTCACGTCAATTGCATGCAGTCGGTTAAACAATAATCCACATACAGATTAAATGGCTTGAGCTTAGACATTTTACTATGAGTCATTTAATAAATGATGAACTATACTGGTTAATTATTTGTTTCTTAATGCATTTTAGACAAATGAGTTCAGTTTTCACATGAGGCAAATAATTTATTAAAAGATATAAAACTAAAAAAGTGACAGTCAAAAAAGTATTTTGTCAAATAACAACTACGCTTATATAAAGTATTATATTGTTGACTAAAGAAATGATGTTGCTTAGTAATGTAGTCAGAAAGCTCATAAGGAAAAGAGAATAGTTAGATTGATTGTCATCCTAAGCTTTAACTTTGTTAAATATGAATTATAGTGATCTCATAGTGAACAGGGTAATCAACCATAATCCACCAAACTTCTAGGATAAATTTCAAACTCAACCTTTTCATACAAACATAAATATTAAACCAAGTAATGTAAACTTCAAGGTGAATAAATAATATTACAACATTTATGATTGTCTTGAATAGAAGAAATTACTTGAATTCACTTCCGAATGTACCTTACTTCTTCATTATAATTTATAATTTTACTTCTATTTTATTGAAGCTATACTTACTAATTTTTTAAATAGTTAGGAATGATCCATATTCTATTTTTCTACAGTCATTAATTGATGGATTATCTGTATGTACGTTTACAGTATTACTGCTTTTAATGATCATATAACGTAAAATTCTAGATAAATAATTTTTTAAAGATCTTTTTAAGTTTCAAAGTTAGTTTCCATCCCAAACTGACATTAGATGCGAAACAGATGTTTAACGTCAGTTTAGGGTATTTCACAAACAAACAGTGACCACAGTAAACAGATATCAATCCAAAACCATTCAATTTCACAGTGATAATAAATTTAAACTACTAGGTTGGGATCTATGGATATGTATCATCAACTTCATTTTTGCTATCGCTTCCTACCAATTTCATTTTAGTATTATTGTAATAAACATGAGAAAATATCAAGGGATATATCTTATATGAATAATTCGTTCATAGTGAACTCATTAAATATCATTATCTTACAAATGAATTTTTACAATATCTACAATGACTAATAGATTTCCGATGTGCTACCCAATCTCTATTTATAATTTTTAAGCTACTATTGTTTAAACTGTGCGAAAAATTTTTTTTTCAGTTTCAGTTTCAACAGGTAGTATGAAAGTTCTCTCGGATAATAGTGAAGACTGAAACATTTATAATTGTGACTGAAAGTAGTTAGCTTAGTGACTTAATTCCTGTTTGGTCATTATTAATCTATACAACCCGATGAAAACTACTCTTTATCAGCCACAGAACGAACGACTTCGTGATAACGCTTATAATTCTAAATCATAAAGGTCCAAGTTTGCAATTGCTCAAAGTTGAAAGTTTGTTTTGGAATTGGTTTCCATTAAGCCAGAAATTTAGAGTATTTTTATCAACCACAAGAAAAAGCTCTTATGGTAATGAAGGGATGTAAGCGACTGAAACTTATCTGCTATCCATTCTATGGGATCATCCTCCTTTTCCAGAAACCAGAAAAAAGTGGATTTTTACTAATGGTGCCATTAACATGAAACCTCAAACGAACTAACAAAAGGACTACTACTTGAGAATGATGATAGTCTTTAAACAGATAACTGTTCTCAGTTTCGTAAAACTGCCCATATTTTGTAGAGACTATACTACTACTGGAATTTCATGAGAAAAGGGGTGTATTTGAGATACGAACATCGCTATCGATTTACTTCTATAGAAGTGTAGTATCTTGTAAGTTGTGGTATGAAGCGAAAATTGAAGTTGTTTTATGATAAATGAGAATCTCTGTAAATGAGTATGGATTGAGGATAGAATATTGTCATTATTTACCATTACCATAATTGGACTACAGTAAAATGACGGATTAAATCGTAAAATAATGAAGATAATGCTAATTTTAAACAAAAATAATTATCTAGTGTATACTTCAAAGTTACCTTAAAATGGTGAAATCGATAAAATAAAAGTCAAACACAGGATTTATGCACAATAGATCTCTTTGATATCACGGAAATATGGAAAAGATACTAGCAGTTCAACAAAGCTGCCATATCCTGTGTCGGTAACGGTTATAGACAATGGTTACCCAATTACTTTCTTTGACTTCATCTGCACATTTAGACAAGGATATTGAATACTTTTCTTACTAAAAGTTACAGTTCATTGTTTTATAGTGACAATTTTATGCGGTATAGTATTGGTTCAAGATTTAGAATAGTTAATATCTTGATAAATTAGTCTGATTGGTATAAGGCGGCTTCATTTTATTCAAATCAAAAGTCAGTCAGTCATTCATAACTTAGAAACTGGTACATATATATGTACAGTGGCTCAAGTTGCGACCATCCATTAGCACGTACAGATGAAAATGTCAGGAAAAAACCCAGAGTAGTTGAGGTACTGACAGTATTATCGATAATAAGAAAGATTTAGCAACCAAGATACAACTCAGAAAAATATAAGTTAGTGAGATAAAAAAATTTCCAAGGAATTTAAAAACTTATGACCCAAGGGAAAGTAAAGAGGGAGAATACCTGCCTCATTCCTAACTGTTCTTAGCTATGCCATCCAAAGTCTATAACCATTGTTTAACATGATTGAGTGGACTCCAACCGAGTAGTCTGCACCTGTCTACACGGATCAGTCCAAACGTCAGAGTACTCATGGACTGATCTGGACGTCCCCAGCTTTCCTCAAGTCTACTATTGCACCAGCCCTCCTCGGACGTCAGGGTAGTCGGTGAATAGGCACAAATGAAAAGTGATGTTCATTGTCCCAAGTGTCTACGTGTTTTCAAAACGATCGAAGTGGTGTTAAAAAAAAGATGATTTAGTAGGATATTTTATCAGTTCACAGACAAAAGATGTCTCTTTCTTGCTCCTATTTTTACCTACAGAACTACCATGAAAAATTGGATTGCTGTGTGATTGTTTCTTTTCATTCTCTATTTCTTCAGTAATAATACATGCTATAGACAACCAATGCGAGAAAATTCTCAGGATTTTCATAGGCCATTTCGAAATTATTTTTCATTCGAATAGACTAGTTCTCAGTATGATCTATGGTGGTTACTATTCTTAATTTATCTTTTAAAATGGTTTTAGTCAGTAAGAAACCAATATATTTCCATCAAGATATCATCAATGTTCGGAAGCAAAATTGAGAAAAGTTTCTGACTAGAAATATTATCTTAAATTAGAAAAATGAACATTTCCAAAACAGTAAAACAATTTACTTTTGCCTCGTCGTTTCCTATATTCACTTGTTTCGAATCGACCCATTTAGTTAAAAGAGCAGACATTGTTTGTAAAGTTGAGTAATCAGATAGGTCTTGATCAGAACAATGTCTTTTCTTTATAGGAGATGCATATTCACTTGAATCAATGCATAAATCATTTGAACAATCCATACTTCTTAGGTTTGAAGAATAGTTTTTATACGAAACTGCGTTTGATGATACAGAACATGAAGTTGTGTTGGCTAATTCTTTTATTTGTTCAAGAAAACAGGATTTCGTTACTGATTGTTTTGATAGTTTCATAGAAGGACTCGGTTGGCTACGTCTACGAATGCGAGAACGTTGAGTATAGACTAAATTGTTAAATCGCACTTCTTGTTCACAACGAGAAGAATCTTCAGAAAAAAATTCTGCAGCTACTGGTGGCAAATGAGAATGAATCGATCGTATATGCTCTACTTTATTTGAAACAGTAACTGCTGTAGCTTTGCATTCACGACGAGAACATCGCCAAAATACACGATCACCCATACCATCTCTTGATTTTGTAAATTTATATCCATTGATAACTAGACTTCTTTCACCTGAGGAAATTATGTAAAATCAACAACCAATTAAATCATAGGATTAATATCAAAAGTATGAATATACAGATAAGGTATCAGGAATCTTGTGAAGAGGAGAATTTCGATATTTAGTCCATTTGATTCACTACAATAGTATCTGAGATTTTATTACTTCAAAGCACTTTTGAATGACGCAATATATGTAATAAACTTTTATAGGTTAAATAACTAGAAGCACGTTTGCACAGCTTCAGTAAATGTCGTTGTCAAAGAGACTTGTTCCACAATGTTTCAATAGGTTTCTTTCGTAGTTTGCATCTTTGTTTACAGTAAAAAATAAACAAACATTTTTTTCAAACGACTCACTTTCATCTATACAATCGACATCAATTAAATCCAAATAAACATCAGTATTTATTTAATATAGTTAAGTATTCGTATTCAAGAAAAGAATGTATCATTGGTATATTTTCCCACGTGACTGCTTCATATATTTTAATAACAAAGTAATTAGATATATTAAATTTGTCTATGAAAAACAATTTTTGTTTCAGCTGTTATAGCAACACGTCTAAGAGGTATAATAGTCTTAAGACAATTCGAATTGAGCTATCATTTGTGCTTGTTCTTGTAGACACTGTAGGTAGGAATTATCAATCGTTTTGTTAAAAATTAATAAATATGTAATAAGTTTTTTTTATTAGTTTTGACTAAATATTAATGTCAAGTGATTGAATGGTAGTTATAGAAGAATATCAACCGTATAAATATCTGTGAGATGTACGTTAGGAATTTGATAATACCCACTTATATAGGAAAATATTATGTTTAATTTGAATCTCATGGCCGATCCATTTTAACCTTATCACGTAGATGAATTTCAAGAATATAGTAGATAAGTTTATCAATACTGAGTATTATATATTTGAAATACTAAAACGAATCTATAAATTAAAATAGTATAAATCAACATGATTAAAAGTGAAGTTATTTTCCATGTTAATTGGTGTGCGTAGAGTCTTTGATTTGCATACAAAGATTGCAAATTACATTTTGACCATAGTGAATAATACAAGACTTAGTAGCCTATACCTATATGTTTGTACCATGGGTAAAATTTCATAGCCTATTCAATAGTTTACCTAATCTGTAGATAATCTCAACTAAACTACATTTTTTTGGGGATATCAGCAATTTATTGTGTTTATTAATAAACGAAATCACATTTTGTGCGCGTTCATTATTAGCTAACATTTTCTAAGTTTTTGTCTATTATATCCTCATGTTGATTAGATGGAGTGTAGTCATTTAAATAAAGTGTAATTTTCTTCACGCTTTCCTAAAACTGTACCAAAAGATTAAACAAAAGTCACCTAATAGAGGGACGTTACTTATATTTAAGTAATGAAAACTTTCAATCAAGAAATGCAAATAAACAGTTCATGTTACAGAATACATTTCTTTGCTGCCTTAAATAATAATCTAAACTCAAACTTAAAACTGAATAGACTATAGTCTATATATGAACTGGATGAAACGTGGTCGACTAGAACATTAAATAACATTTAACAGTAATGTCGAATAAATTAGCGAACAGTTATGTAAACAAATATCCTTGATCAATAAGTCGTGATAGAATTTCCAATTTAGCCCAATAGATTTTAAATATCAACTACCTCATCAAAGCTATATGCAAGTACCGAACGACTTCATTTTATAATCATCTAGTTTATACCTCAGACTGCAACTACAGACAAATATCTAAATGGCCAAATTACAAGTGAATGGATAACTAAATACAAATTCTTATAAATATAAACCGGTTCATAATAGCTGCAACAATATCTGTATTTTATAAATACAAGCCATTAGTAGTGAAATTAGATCTGATATTATAACACCTACTTAACATATGACAAGTGAAAAACCCACAGAACCTACCTTTACGTGTAACATCAAAACCTACACGAACTTTAATTAAATTCCACTGTCCCTCATTAGATTTATTCACAAGCTCAGTTGTAAAGTTTTGTTTCGACTCTTCTGTTGAACTTGGCCGATAGTTTGGTTGCCTTTTTTCTTTATCATCGTGATTTTTTTTAACCGAATGAGGATTAAGATTATTGTCCAGAGTATTATGCAATTGTCCTGTGGAACTCCCACCAATAATAGTTTCTTCAGCTTCTGTTTCTTCTAGATCGTACGTTAGAGTGTGAAAGTTCTTAATAGACGTCGCATTCATATTACCGACTGACCTCCATAAAATATCAACATCTAACATTGTAAGATGAACAAGCACCCAACTTGCTTGTACATTGATGGAAGTCACTAAACTTCCTGAGACTAACTACAAACAGGTTTGCGGTGTAAGTCTACGTCAGCTTCGATTTTCGTAGTCTATACGAGGTCGTCGAGTTTGTATATCAAGGTAACTGTTATTAAAAAAGTATGCTGTTGATGTGCTTGCATGTGTGTAACACGCTCTTGATGCTTGTTAGTCATAGAAGATACCATCTTGAAGTGCTACAATAACAAATGCTTTCGCTCTAACCCAACTAGCCAATCAATTCAATGCATATAGAACGTCTAATTGGTCAATCAGTTTAATGTATTGGAACTAATAGTAACAGAAGAGTGATGATTAATCCTAATCAATATCAAGGTCATTCAAGTCATCTCAACAGTAAATTTCATTGAATGACTAATCATCTGTAGACAATCATAAAATAAGAAATGCAGTTAAAGAGGGATGCCGTATGTCAGCAAAGCAAATTTAAATAAAGGTCGGTTGTTCACATCTATATCCTGAAACTGTTCTAGCAATTAACCTTGATTGTAACAAGTTTCCAATAGCTTAGAATTTGCTTACGTGTTATTGATGGCAAAATTAAACTTGAAATAAGTAATCGCGTTAACTTTTTAATTTTTCAGATAAAAATATTTTTTTGTTGTCAAATGATAGATTGGAAATATTATTTATTCGAAATGAAGGATCCTTCGACGAATGATCGTTTAAACAATTTTATCAGACTCTACAGTTATAAATCCATGAGTGATATTTTATAACTACCGATATAAAAGTTTAGAATATAATACTAAGTCTATAAAACAATGTAACAAGCTAAGAAACAATGATGATTATAACACCGTGTGCAGTTAGAACATTGTTTAACTGTGAATCTTAACAAAGGAGAAGAAAAGGTACAGCTGCAAATAAGTACATAAGCAGATTAAATAAATTAACTGGCTATCGTTTCGCCTTCTGAAACACTACTCAAAATGTGCATAATAGGTTATGACGTGTATTGACATATTTTACTCTCAGATGATTAAGTTTGGAAAAAACGATTGATGAGTTTCGAACCAATATATGATTAGTGGTCTACTCGTCATAAGTTGCAAATGTCTTGGGTAGAGTTCTGTAAAGAAGCATAATGGAGGTACGCTACGAAATCTTGGAAGACTTAAATTCTAAAAACATTGGATACCAATGAAGTCTTTAGAGACATTAGTTCATAATGGAGACTGTACTGGTTAGCCTCCCATAACATCTCATGTTAAAACTTATGATGAAACTGAATCATGGCCATAAGGAGTTGATGTGTCGAAAAAAATACCTAAATTTGTTCTTTCTAATTATATTTGAAACTGTCTATTCTGTTCGCGTTCTCCATCCTTTGTAGTGTCAGTTGCTATGTTAATCCCATATAGCTTATTCTAGCTTCCGGACAAGCCAATTTATTCATTTGTCTTGAGTCATATTTTTGACCTTGTCAATTATTCGCTTAGTAATCATATTAATCATATGAGTGATGTGAGTTCACTTCTGATCCTATTCATCACATATCTGTAACTTATTTTTGTTCGATTCACGCTTGGCTAAATTGAGTTGGCTCACTTATTTTCTTCACTGCGCATCATTTAGTTTTGTTTCTCTCCGTCTCCTTGATTGTTTGTTCAGATCAACGATTGCATGAAATACACTCATTGGAATTTCATTCACGAATTCGACTTATTTAATTCCGTTATTCACTAACGCGATTCAATACGATGATTATATACGAGGATTGGCGAAATGTTTATTTCGATAGCGATCAACATACGATCGAATTGGAGTCAGATTCAGGGTCACAAAACCTTATTCACTTCTCTCCAACTCCTTTGTGCCTTGTTTCATACTACTTATTAATATTCAGTAAACAGTTGAATTCCTAGTAATTTCTACACTTATGTTGTAGCACAAGTTTTTAGTGCAGTATTCTAAAATATTTACAAATACTTATAGCACTTATTGCACTTTTTGTTATATTCACTTTGTCTCAACCCTTCTAACAGTTATTTTCAATTATGTATAGTCGTTTAACCCTTATTTATTGTTTGTTTTTGGTTCCGTTTTTGCTTGTTGATAAACTGTTATCAAGTTTAGACAGCAATCAGCTGTCATTTGTACTATCGTATGTTTTAATTATTCTTTATGTTATTCCAGGAAGCCTAATTTCATTTCAGACTTTCAAACGCGGTCAACGCTACAGATGCCCCACAAGTAGAGATTTGTAGCTAATTTATTGAAATTGTTCAATAAAGAACCGCTTTTTAGATAAATCACTATTTTGTGAACTTCACTTGTATGCAAATAAAATATAGAAAGTGGACGAGAAAATTTTGTCGACAAATTCATATAGTAGTTATGTAAAATCTATTCATATAAACTTAATTGTAGTAATAATTTTTAGGTAAATCTAATGTGTTAAATGATAATCTAAGTAATAAGATTAACTAATGTGATTAATGTATATTTCAATGAAATTAAAATCCATTTTAAATAGTAATGACTTTAACATATTAGAAGACCTTTTATTGTAAATTGAAACAATAATACTTTTCCCAATTAGATCATCTGGAAGGGAATGCTGTTTACTTTCATATGCTGATTTAACAATAAAATTTTTTTAAAAATCTATCTAGTACTTGATGTTTGTATATTATCTCTACATGATCTGACTTATGAATTCAAATTTCAATAACGTTGGTTTTTATTGACCATTGAACATAAATGAATTCTGACTACTGAGGATAAATGGAAAGACTGATTAGTTTCAATAAAAAACTATGACTACTTACATGCATTTGTTAGTAGTGTAAGACATTGTTTATTTGAATTTTTTAGTGATTACAGAGTTAAATTAAGAAGTCCAGTTGGTACTCCATCATTTTCTCGTAAATAGATTGTGTTTTGTTCATTAGTTAACAATTTCATTAAATTGCGATCTTCTGACGACCAAGTACGGTACATCAATGCAAAACGCGAGGAAACCAGGCTAGTTTCCGACCTGGACGTGGATGTACGGATGACATTGTGAAATACAAAAGTACATACCAACGCCCGAATACAGTGTTATTTCTTGTCTTTAAGATAACATTTGATACATATGGCATACAGGTTTTATAACATTATCTATCAGTAAATAGGCTTCTCAAGATGTATATCAACTTTATGAAGACTGAACACATCTGGTCAAATGAGAGCTTGTTGTCAACTGCCATCAAAATTTCCAACTCCGCCTGTAGCGCTTCCAGAGTTACTGCCGGTCCCAAGCCCGGGTAAAGGAGGAGGGTTGGGCATGGAGTTAGCGTCCGCATCCCGTAGAAAACTAACTCGCTAAAGAAACGCTTATCAGAAAAAATAATTAAAACCATTTTAACTATGCCCTGGGAGTTAGGTCTTCATTTAGAAGAATTATGACGCTTCATGGTGAAAGCCGAGTTCCTTTGGAAGCCACGTGGCCGATACCCCTTCTAGAAACCGGAGCAAAAATTTTTATGGGTACACGGAACGTCCGAACAATGTGGGAGACCGGGAAGACCAGTCAAATAACAACGGAAATGAGGAGATACAACTTGGCAGTACTGGGAAACAGCGAAACCCATTGGACCCAAGCTGGACAGAAAAGGCTAGCTACGGGAGATATACTGCTATACTCCGGTCATGAAGAGGAAAATGCTCCGCACACTCAGGGAGTCGCTCTCATGCTGTCCAAAGTAGCACGAAACGCACTTGTAGGATGGAAATCTCACGGATAAAGAATCATCAAAGCATCATTCCAAACAAAGGAGGGGAACACACTGAATATTATCCAATGTTATGCACCCACCAATGATAGCAACGACGACATTAAAGATCAATTCTACGAGCGTCTGCAGTCAATCATAGAGAAGTGCCCAAGAAAGGACCTCACCATTCTGATGGAAGATCTAAATGCCAAAGTTGGAATAGACAACACCGGATATGAAGATATCATGTGACGATATGGACTGGGTGAGAGAAACGAAAATGGAGAAAGATTTGCAAATCTGTGTGCATTCAACAAATTGGTCATAGTAGGCACAATATTTCCACACAAACGTATACACAAAGCTACATGGATCTCACCGGACCACACTACAGAGAACCAGATAGATCATATTTGCATCAATAAAAAGTTTCGAAGGACAATGGAAGATGTGAGAACCAGGAGAGGAGCTGATATAGCTTCAGATCACCACCTAGTTGTAGCCAATTTAAAACTGAAGCTAAAGAAAAACTGGACAAACAGCAATACAAAGGTTCAATACAGCCTTCCTTCGAGATACTAACAAAATCAACGAATTAAAGATAGCTCTCAACAACAGGTTCCAATCTTTACAGGATCTACTGAAGGAAGAAGAAACTACTATGGAGGACAACTGGAAAGGCATCAAGGAAGCATTAACTTCAACGTGTCAAGAGGTTCTCGGTCTAAAGAAATACCATCATAAGGAATGGATCTCTACAGAAACACTGGACAAGATCAAAGAAAGGAAGAACAAGAAGGCAGCAATAAATAACAGCCGAACACGAGCAGAGAAAGTCCAAGCACAAGCTGAATACATAGAAGCAAACAAACAAGTGAAGAAGAGCATTAGAGCCGACAAGAAGAAATACGTGGAAGAACTAGCAACGACGGCAGAAAAAGCTGCTAGAGAAGGAAATATGAAACAGCTTCACGATACAACGAAGAAACTAGCAGGGAAATACAGTAAACCAGAGAGGCCGGTCAAAGACAAAGAAGGCAAGCCAATCACTGAAATTCAACAACAGCGTAACAGATGGGTAGAATACTTCGAGGAACTCCTGAATAGGCCGGCTCCAATGAATCCAGTGGACATCGAAGCAGCACACATAGATCTTCCTATAGATGTCAATCCACCAACTACGGAAGAAATTGGAATGGCCGTCAGACAAATCAATAACGGGAAAGCAGCAGGGCCCGACAACATACCAGCTGAAGCACTGAAATCAGACATCGAAGCAACCACAAGCATGCTTTATCTTCTATTCAAAAAGATTTGGGAGGAGGAACAAGTGCCGATGGACTGGAAAGAAGGATACCTCGTCAAGATTCCAAAGAAAGGAGATCTGAGCAAATGTGAAAACTACAGAGGCATAACACTACTGT